TAAAAAAAATTATTTATTTATTTATTTATTTATTTATTTATTTATTTATTTGTCTTTTTGAAACAGATCTCCCTGTAGCCCCAGTTGGCCTGGAACTCACAATGGAGACCAGGCTGGACTCAATCTCACAGAGATCTGCCTGCCTCTGCCTCCCTAGTGCTGAGACTAAAGGTGTGTGCTACCAAATCCAGCCCCTGGCCCAGTTTTAAAATAATAAAAGCAAAGATAATGCTATATGATTTGCCTTCACATTTCAGTGCATGTCCCTGAATGGTGGGTAAGAGATCCTGTGTGTGGTTATTGTGCACTTTAAAAAAAAATTTATTTATGGGGCTTGGAGAGATGGCTCAGTGGTTAAGAGCACTGGTTGCTCTTGCAGAGGACCTGGATTTAATTCCGAGCAACCATATGGTGGCTAACATCTGTAACTCCAGTTCCAGGGGATCTGACACCTTCTTCTGACCTCCTCAGGCATTGCACAACACAGGTGCACTTACACAGGTGCGCTTACCTACATGCAAGCAATACACCCATACACATAAAATAAAAATAATAAATAAAATTAAAATATATATGATATACAACATACTATGATATAATATCCGACTTGCCCTAGAAAATCACAGTGAAATCATTTATATGCTGATAAAATATTTAAGATATCTTAAATTATGTAAAATTCATTTATAAATATTTTTATTTATGTGTATATTCATTTAGAAAAACTGGATATAAATTTCTAGTTCACATATACTAAGATTGTAGTTATAATAAAGTAAGCAGTCAAGGAAAGAGTGCATTATACAAAGTTAATGAGCCAAACTGAGGAATGTAACTCAAAAACTTAAAAAGTTAGGTAGTCACACACAAAATCACAGGTTCACATACACAGAACCCCTTGCAAAATTGAACATACTATATTTGTGTCTCATTGATAACTCACTCTCTATATGCCTCACTGTTTCAATAACACATTGAGGCAGGGTCATTTTGGTTTGCAGTTCAGTCTGGTTTAAACAAATACTTCAGTAGCTATAACTAAGGGGATCTTCACCATAACATTATAATCAAGGCACTCTAGAAAACTGGAAACTTTTTAGTTTCCAAAAATAAATGTTTTAGACAAAATAAACTACCTAAAGATCTGACCTTTTAAGCTGGAGCCTACAGAGGAACACAAATACTCAGTCTTAACAGATCTCTCCTGTCAGGTAAGAGCTAGAACCATGAAGTGATCTAGCCAACCACCTTCACCAGACAAATACAAAAACTGACTAAAGGAGTTAGTATCTTGTCTGCCATGTAGCAACTTAGCAGAGTCAAGGTAGGACCTGGGAACTGGGCCTTTGAACTCCATGCCATTTTCTTTGCATTACGTTACACCATCCCTGAAAAAACACAAGAGAAGAAAGAGGAGAGGGAGAGGAAGGGAAACCAAGCTATGGACTTGGTCACTTTAAAACCTACTTGCTTTAGGAACACAGTGATACAGGAAACAGTATTATAAAATATTAAGATAAAAAGTAGAGGAACTGATCTACCAGGAAAAGAAAATATACTTAAATTCTAAGTCACCAGGTAAAGGTATTTGTTGCTAAGCCTGATGACCTGAGTTGGATCCTCAGGTCCCACATTGTAGAGGAGAGAACTGCTTCCAAGAGTTGTACTCTGACCCCACTACACAAACATACACACACACACACACACACACACACACAGAAATATAATTTTAAAATGAAGAAAATATAGAAATCTTAATAGTTATCAACATTTAAAATTTTTAAGACTGTTATGGCCAACAGAATGTATCTTTATTTGATTGATTGACTGATTGATTGATTGATTGATTGATTGATGGATGGATGGATGGATTGACTTTTGAGATAGTGTGTCCCTGTAGTCCTAGCTGGCCTGGGGGGACTCACTATGTAGACCAGGCCTGGAACTCACAAAGATCCGCCTGCCTCTGCATCCCAAGTGCTGAAACTAAAGGTGTGCATCACCATTCCTGGCTAGAATGTGTAAGTCATTATAATCTGGCAAATATTTATTTGTCTATGACTATCCTTGAGTTCTCAAGAAAATTAATGTGGCTCTGAAGGTAGTTCTGAAATTTGTCTGACTTTCTGGAATTGCATCATTTCTTAAAGGCCTACAGTGGAAACAGTTCTGAGCTGCCCATTCTAGTGAAGCCTGCGTGTTCCATCTACACAGGACAGCCCATTCATTCCTGAACATGAGCTGCTTCCTTGGACTTGATGCCTGGTAATTTCTGGAATAAGAATTGTCTCTGGGCTGGAGATACAGCTCAGTCAATAAAGTGCTTGCTGCCAAAGCATAGGGACCTGAGTTTGGTCCCCAGAACCCACACAAAAAGGCCAGGTATGGTGGTACCATTTTATAATTCCAGTACTGGGGAGAAAGAGACAGGGGGATGGATCCCAGGGACTTGCTGGCCAGCCAGCCTAGCCTAATCAAGGTGCTCCAGGCCAAATGAGAGACCCCTATCTCAAAAAGCAAGGTGGACAGCTCCTAAGAAACAACACTCAGGTGACTCACTGGTCTACACACACACACACACACACACACACACACACACACACACACGCATGAGCACAAATGTGCACCCCGTATAAAGATGCACTGACACACACACATATGCAAAATATACACAAAGTATTTCTCATAACAGTCAATAAACTAACACTGTTGATAATTGACTTTAATCTTGATTTTTCTGTTACATACTAAAAAGTCTTTTAGCTTTAGCCTGTATCTATACACATTTAAAGCGTCGGTGCATGAAGGCATTCTTAAGAATTAATTTAATACTATTTGCCCTCAGTTTTACAGATTAAAGTACAAAGACAGACAGTAACCACTTCAAAGTCATACTTTCTAGAGAACTAATAATTTTTAGATATATCATATAAGTATTAGGTATGGCACAGTATTCATATTCATTTGGGTTATGAAAAGTGCACATTCTAGAAACCTACGGATGTCTAGGAAAATGAACAGATATAAATGAGTAATAGTGAAAACTATAATAATACCAAAGTGTATCCATGGAAAGGAGCGGCTCAGTAAATGATAGTAGGTGGGGGAAAGAGGAGGGCTGAAAATGATGGATGAACAGAGTAAATGAAGCCTCTGTATGTCTAACCTGCTCAGAACTTTAACATACGAAATCTGACTGACAATCTCCAAGATCACAGCGGTGTTTCTCATGAACTTTTATTTTTAGATCACACTTGTGATACATGAAAAGTATGTAAGTTCCAAGGAGTGGTATAACGGCGTCAAATGGTAGGTTCATTTGTAGTTTTTTAAGAGTTCTCCACACTGCTTTCCATAGGGGTTGAACCAGTTTGCAGCCCCACCAACAGTGGATGAGTGTTCCCCTTTCCCCATATCCTCTCCAATATTTGGTATCATTTGTTTTCTTGATCTGAGCCAGTCTGACTGGGGTAATATAAAT